ACCTCGTCGCCCCCGCCCCCGCCCGATCTCCTGCCCGCGCCCGACCGCCTGCGGCCGGCATGGAGGGGAACCGGGACGAGGCGGAGAGGTGCGTGCGCATTGCGCGCGAGGCCCTGGGTGCCGGCGACCGCGGCAAGGCCCAGCGCTTCCTGCAGAAGGCCGAGCGGCTGTACCCGCTGCCCGCCGCGCGCGGTGAGCCCCCGACTCGACCCGACCCGACCCGACCCGGGCCCCGACCCCGACCCCGACCCCGGCCTCATCCCCATCCCCATCCCCATCCCCATCCCCATCCCCATCCCCATCCCCGACCCCGGCCCGCTGCCACCTCGCGCGGGCCGGGATCCCGGGGTGACATGGCTTTCCCAGGAGGCAGCGGGGGTCGGGGCCGCGCTATGGCAGAGCAGCGCCGCGAGCTCTTACATAAATCTCAGCCAAGCCAGGCTCTTCCGGGCTGAGTCCCGCCATCCAGTCCCACCCGCCGACCCAGCGACCGTACCCTGTTCCCGGTGCTTGAGCCGTGCGGCCTGGGCCAGGGTTATCCCATTCATTGCTGTCTAGGCCGGTGAGAAGCCAGGCGAATAAATGAATGGGGGCGGGGGGCGGAGTCGGGTCTATGTGTAAATATCTTACGAAGGTCACACCGTGATCAGTGGCAGAGCCAAAATCACCCCAAAAGGCCTTTAACCACCGTACCCTAGTACAGTGCTTGTCTTTAAGACATCTTCCTTGGGATTCAAAGTACTTCCGGGCTAAGAAGATCATTGATAAGTTAATGAAAATGTGGGCTAGCTCTTTTATTCTGTTGTTAATTTCTTCTATACTGTTGAAGCTCTTGTGCTTTTTGCTTTTCTCTTAGTCCTCTACTTTTTTTACTTTTTGGCCATTGAACAGTGTATCAGGTCAGGAAAAAAAGTCTAAGATAGGGTGCTTAGTGTTAAATATATGCACAGTGTTGTGTTAGAGATGTTTTGAGCTTTTTCGTTTTACCACACTGACACTACCGATTAAACAGCTCCCCCTGGCAATCACCAGCCTGTGTTTCTATGGATTTGACTAGCTCCTTCCCGTTAGTGGAATCATAAAGTGTGTTTGTCTGTGTGACCGGCTTTTCTCACTTGCAAGAGGTCCTCAGATTCATCCATGTCATTGCTGTTGCGTTCGACACGTTTCACTTATTTTTCATACTGGATGCTCCATCCATTGTGTGTGTTCGCCTGACTTAGCTGTTGTGAATAATGCCGCTGTGCTCCTGTGAACACGGGCATGTAAAATCCTGTTCCAGTTCTGGGTGGATTGCCCAGCAGTGGCTTGCTAGGTCAGATGGTAACTCCAGCTTCAGGTTCTGAGAAAACACCAAAGCGTTTCCCTTCGTGGCTGCACCGTGTTCTTTCCGTACCTTTCCTACCGGCAGTGTACAAGGTTCCAGGGGCTCAGTATCCTCTGCAGCGCTTCCTTTTATTGTTTTTGTTTTTGTTTTTGTTTTGCTAGTAGCCATCGCAGTGGGTTTTGATTTGCATTTCTTAAGAGACGGAGTGCTGTTGAGCATTTTTGTATTTGATGGCCATTTGTATGTATCTTTAGAGAAATGTCTTTTCAAGTTGTTTGTCTGTTTTAACATAAGTTTATTTGCTTTTTGTAGCTGAGTTAAAGGAGATCTTTCCATTCTGGATATTACCCCTTCTCAGACATGCAGTTTACAGATACGTTCTCCCATTCTGCAGGTAGCCTTTCTGGGTTGATCTCATTTGTTGCACAAAGCTTTAAAGTTTTAAAATAACGTAATATATCTTTTGTTTATTGTTTTGCTTTGTTTCTTGTGCTTTTAGTGTCAAATGCAAGAAACAATTGACAGGAGTCATTCCTGCATCTCGCCGAGTGTATGAACATGATTTCATGTAGTTATGTTTTAGTTCTAAAGGGGTAGTTTTGACATTAATCAAGTAGGTACACTAGGCAGAATATTTGACTTTTTAAATATTTTTATTTTTATTTATTTATTTATTTATTTATTTATTTTTGCAGAACCAGGGATTGAACTCAGGCCCTTGTGCTTGCCAGGGAAGTGCTTATTCTACTGAGCTATTTCCACAGTCCTGAAGGGTTAAGGATAGGGAGGGGTTTTTTTTGGCAGAAAGAGGGATTGAACTCAGGCCCATGCACTTACCATGCAAGCGCTTACTCTACTGAGCTATCTTCCCGGCCCTACTTTGACTTTTAAAGCCTAGCTCTTCTCCAGCCAGCATGTATCCTTATTGTGGGTGAAGTTAGGCAATGCCTCGAGCCTTTGGTTTTTTTCATCTTTACAGTGGGTACAATGTACTGATCTTACAGTACTATGTAAGGATTAAATAGTTCAACACCTGGAAACATGTAGTAGTAAATAGTCAATTTTGATGGCCATGTTATAACTGAAAATCTGAGAATTCTTAAAAATTGTCCAAACTTGCACAATCCATCCTACTTCTGTCATGTAAACAATTTGAAGCATTCTTTAAAAGCAAACAAAGTATTTGTTGTCCTTAAAATGTGACAGTAGGGAAAATTTAAACATAAGAGTGAAAGTCCACAGTACAAATTAGGCTAAGGCAGTACGTAGTTGCCAAATAAAGTAATAGGGTACAGTTGTGGGTAGTCTGAAAAGTAGTTCAGATACAGACTTCCTCTCTGACATCTGTTTAACTAGAGTCAAATTACTTAGCTTTTCTGAGCTTTATGTAAGATGAGGATATCACCAGGGTTGGTAGGAGTTGAAATAAAGTTAGGTGCTACTACTTAGAAAAATGTATTTTATAGAGAATATTCTCTGAAGATGTTAATGAGCATAATTTTAGAATTCAGGAGAAGGGAAAATCTCATATTTATGAAATATTCCAATAAAAGACAGTACAGGAAGAAATTTGAGCCATTGATTACAATGAGATTTGAACTTTTCAACCCCTGAATTTCATCTATTCTGTAAAGACCAACCTTAACTCCCAGAGTTATATGAATGTTTTTCTGGGTGTATTTTCACTGTTCTTACACAGTGAATGGAAAAATGTGAGAATAAATTCTAGCTAACCTCCAGAATTATTTTTTTTTTAAATTTATTTTATTTATTT